ACGTGTTTTCAAACACTTTTTTCTTTATTCGAGCAAAAACTCTTTTTGTTTTATGGTCAATATATCAATAAGTAAGTGATCATGTAATCACAAAAATAGTCTTTTAAGTTGGTCAAAGCATTGGTCAAACTTTTTGATCCAATTACGCTATGCGAGGCATTACATTTCTCTCCACCTCAAAGAAATTTATTTTTGAAATTTACCTGGACTACTCTTGTCAAAGCCATGTGGATACTGAGTCCTCATGGACTCTTTAATTTACCAAGGTCATTCTTTAGTGTTGTGGTTTCTCAAAAGTACCTAGACAAGAAGTGCTTGCTTTTTTGTACATGTTTTATCTGACTATATAATATTTGAACAAGTTCTTTGTTAGAATAAGTGACCAACGCTAGAGGGGGGTGAATAGCGTTTGATCGTAGAAATCACAGGAATAATGTAACGCCCTCAAATCGGCCTAGTTTTAAATAAATAAATATTATTTATTTATTGAGACTCATTATTTTAAATTGATAAATATTGAGATTTCGATCTCTTTAAATGGCTTTCCAAAGCTAATGTATTTTAATATAAAAAAAGATGTATTTAAATAACGGGCCTCTCAACATTAATTACTCAAATAAATTAACTAATGATTGGGATGGATCCGGAAGTTTGAAAATAAAGTTTTGAGAAAAATATTTTGAAGATATCATAAATTTAGTTTTGACTGTGTATTTCCGGAAACACAACCGGATCTCAATTTGGACCCATTTGGGGGAAAAACCGCGTTCTGTTTGAGTCAGATTTTACACAACAGAGTGGAAGTTAGGGAGGTAACTCCCCAACTTGAAAACCACACGCCACACCACATTACTCCTCCATAATTCCTCATTCATTTCCCCTTTAATTATTCATTCATTTTCCTTCAATTTAAACCTCCTCTCTCCCTCTTCATTTTCCTCCACCACACCTTGTAACTCCCACCATCCATAACACCCATCTCTCCCTCTCCCTCTCTTGTGTTCGGCCAGTAGCAGCTAGGCCATGGAAGAGTTCCGGCGGGTAGACGAGGAGGAAGAAGAGGAGGAGGTGTCCACGAGAAACCATTCATCATTCGTTGTTCGTCGTTGTCAACCGTTTGTTCATCTCGTTTCATCATTCCGTCAATCCCTTAATTTAGAGGTGAGTAGTTGTCCCCTCTAATTCTAGAACATCCAATTATAATCTATGTCGTTGTATCCATAGAAATATCATATTCAACCTACGTAGAATCTACGCATGTTCGTAGGTTAGCCATTAAAATGTTCACTATGTAAAAATCGTATATATTGGCCTAGGAATCCCTAGGAATATATTCATCAATGCTTACATTATTCTTCTAAAAAGAATCAAGGTGTTAAGTTTGCAAAACGGATCAAAACGGAGCCAAAGATAGAAGACTGTGACCACTGTGACGGTCAGCCGCTGGCCGCGACAGAAGACCCCGGTGGACCGTCTGTGTTCCAGTCCCAAACCGTAGGGCACGGTCGACTGCTGGTAGGGTACGATCATGTTCATTCTAGACACATGTCCTAGGTTTATCATCATGTGCATACCGCTGTAGGGATGTCAGGCTTTCGTGCGCCTACTACAGTGGGGCCGTCCATGAACCTTCGGGATCCAACGGGTTTTCATCAGGTGGGCTTTGTGTACGTACATGGTAGTCAGGCTACGGCTACCACCCAGTTTTGCTAGTTCACTTGCGACATTTTCATCGAGCCCGGCTCATTACCGGAGTGCAGGGGTGATCCTGTCAAGTGAGACTAAGCCAGGGGTGTCCCTGATAGTTTAAGTCATGTATCAAGTCATATCGTCATCTTCATGTATGTTCCACGTCACATCAACATTCAATGTGGTTGTTATTCATTTTGTTATGTGTAATAATATCCCAACAAGTGCAAATTAATCAGTTAGTAAACATGTGGTTTTCCGTACGTTAAAGTACAGGTATTATTATGCGTATAACCATATGGGTTATCACTTAATGTTCTTTTATTAGATTCACTCCTCAGCTTTTGCTGAGCGTGTACTTGTTTTTGCTACACGCAGGTAGACATTACAGGTGCCAACCCTGGAGGACAGTGATGATGGGAAGATGGGCGGCGCACGGACGAGTTTAATAATTAAAATCATTGAAATTAATTAAACACTTGGGCATGAACCCATCATATGTCGTTTTACCTATTTTGGACTTATTTATTTACTTCTGCTTTTACTCTGCATTTATATCACACACGTTTTTAGGTTAATTCCCTAGTACTTAATACAACAATTAAAGGCAACTGTTTTCATAATAAATGGACATTAATGTTATCTTTTGCTACGGACGGTTCTCGGACCGCCCATGTAACCCTACCGGTCTGTTGGGTCGCGGGTGAACCGGGTCCACGGAAGGCGGATGTTACAAATAAAAATTAAGAATGTGAAACGTAAAGAGCATAAAGGGAGCACACCAAGATTTATACTAGTTCACCACAACGTGTGGCTAATCTAGTCTCCCGAAAGACTCTCTCAAGCTTCACTACTTCCGTTAAGCTTACGGGTGCTTAACAAACCATTACAACCTAAGAACTCGAGTTCCACAAGCCTCAATAATACTTGCTTGGAGATACCGCACTCCAAGACTTCAACCCGAAGGAAAACACGTTTCCTTCGTACAACCAAGGGAAACAATCTTCCCTTAACGTATATAAACACTACGAACACTCAAGAACAAGGCTCTCTCAAAAGAGTGAATATGAGTAAAGTAATATGCTCAAGATCACAACACGAACTTCACAAAAATGGCTCTCGAAAAGCTATGAATGTTGTATGAATGTAATGCAATGAAAAATAAGAATTGTGAAGTAATGTTATATGTAAAGCAGACCCAAACACCCTATTTTATAGTAGAAAAATAGGCCCCAACGGGTAGGAGTTGAATGGGGTGATAAGCACAATTTGTAGGATTTGATTGAAATTGGATCTGCTGAAAATCGGCCTGACAGCACTGTCCATGACTTGCTTTGATTTTGAGAAACAAGAATCAATGGTCAATGCCAATAGCGATGTCCAAACAGCCTACAATGTTGTTTTGGCTGTTGACTTCCAAACAAGGAAAGTTTTAGCCATAAATTCATTCCAAAGGTCAGGTGCCTACATCGATGTTCATTATTTGAACATTGCTGTTCAGACCTGACTTTGAAGGGTGACGAAATGGCCTGACATCGCTGTTGCTGGTCAACCGCGCTGTCAAAAAACTTTCTGCCAAAGGCATTTCTTTTGGCTTAGGTTGGACATCGATGTAGAGATGATAAGTCCGTTTTGTTCTTATCATTTACATCATATTCTAAACGTTATTGCACGTAAATAATATTTAATCATCTCATAAAATGTGATTTTAATGGATAAAACTCTCATTTTCATTCTAAGAGTCATAAAGAGGGATTCCACATGAAATCATCATAAATCATCCATTTTATGTTCAAATGCTTGAGAAAAAGGGAATAAATCATCAAAGGATCAAGATTTGGGCTTGAACGAGCTTCCGAGAGGTCAAAAACAATGTTCGGGGCCAAAACGGAGCAAAATTGGGCCAAAATCACAAACCAGTCGCGAAGCCCAACAAGAGAAGGGCCTAAGGCGTCCAACTTGGACGCTTGGGAGTTGGACGCTTCAGCTTAATTGCAGCCCAAGAATGACACGTGGCAAAATCTGGTTGGCCGGGACAGCTCAGGCATCCAGATCTGGACGCTTGGACTTGGACGCTTTGACTTGGACGCCTTGGATCCATTCCTATAAATACAGCACGATTCTTCTCATTTTTATCATCGAACTTCATCCCAACTTCGGGATTTAATCTTCCAATCTCCATTATAGTTTGTAGTATAGTTTTAGTAGTTAGTTTTGAAGTATTTTCGGAGGTTTTGAGTCCAGATCTGTTCTGTTCCGCTCTTACGGAGGTTGTAAGTTTTCTTTATTTAATAAAATGCTATTTTAATTTATGTTTGCATAGTATGAGTTAGGGTCCGGATCTCTGGGTCCGGACTAATTTGGTTGTTTATTTTTTTGAGGTTAAATTAATGTTGGAATGGTTAATCTATTGTTCTTGCCTTAACTGGTTAATTAATATCGAAGGATTTAATTGGCCATTTATTGAGAAAATATTGTATGCCAAAAGGCTATGATATTCAAGTACAACAGATTAAGTACAAATCTAGAAATGGATGAGTAGTAATAGAAATATTATTTTTCCAACTACTAATTTAATATGATAAAATAGATCCAAATGATGTCCAGACCCTAGGACCAGATCCACACTTATACTATGTAAACTTAATTTATTATTTTTACTCTGCTCCTTTTATAATCGTTCCGAGAAGACTTTCATAAACCAATCCTAATCTTCGCCTAATTAGAGTAATTAAACTAATTCCCTTTGTCCACTCCTTGAGAGATACGACACTCGGAGAGAAAACTAACCCTTTACTGGGAAGGTTTACTACTCGAAAAACTACAATTGTCAAATGGCGCCGTTGCCGGGGAGTGGCACGGCATTAGTTTAATTTCTTTTAATTAGCTTGGGTGAAGATTGGTTAGAACGATCTTCTCACTTCTTTTTCACCAACCACCCGTAATAATTATTATGGATAACTCTAGTGGTTATTATGGTCCGCCTTCTTTCTACCAATCACCCAACCGCCCTCCGTTTCAAACCCATCCACCTTATCACCCACATCAGTACCCATGTGATAATACTTACCAAGTCAACAATAGATCTGACTACTATCCCTACCATGAGGAACCACTATATGATACCCCGTCTAGAAACTTTGGATATTCGCCATACCAAGATCCTGATGGGGATGATTATTATGAACCTCATGGTGATCAAGATGACTATGACCAATCTGGGCCTATGTATGACAATCAACCTGATCCACTCGTCGAAGAAATAATAAGACTGGAACAGAAAATCTTCTATTTCGACGAACTTTTATTCGCTGAAGGCTCGTGGTACGAACCACCCTACTCCCGTGACTACACTTTGTTTGCTGAAGAACAAATTGAAGCAAACAAGGTGGCAATTCGAGAGAGAGCAAAACTCTTCTTGAATCAGTCCGGAAGGAAAAGGAGTTCGAAAGGAGATTACACGAAGGATCAGAATTGATGCAGAAAATGCTGGACGACTTTCAAAGAGAGAGATTAGAAGCTGAGTCTAAAGCCGATAAATTAGTCAATGATCTCGGCAAGGCTGTTGAACTTAAACGCTCCCTCCAATCTCAAGATCAAATGAGGGAGGTTAAGGTTCAAAAAGAGGCTCTAGAACCTAAGACCAACCCTGAACCCATAAACCAACAGATTCCAGTTCTAGAAGATTCACCCAGTTTTACACCATCACAGAAACCCGAGAGCATAACAACTCTCGCTAGGGCTACTGTGGTGATGTTACCTAAATCCCTTCCTAGGCAAGTCACAACCAGCGTAGTCGTACAAAAGGTGGAACCAACTGAGGGACCTGACTAAGAACCACCTATGCTTAGTCAAGAAAAGGAGGAGGAAGTTTTTCCTATAGCAATAAACGACCATCTCCTTAGTTGTGTTGAAGACACACCTCCAGAGAAACTTGTTCTGGAGGAGATTGAGCCCACTACAAGCCCCCAAGATTCCAATGTCCACAAGTGTAAGGAGGAACCTATAGATGAAGAAAAGCCAACTCCGTCTATAGAAACCTACGCAACCAATGATTCGTCTAATGATTCAGACCATACTTTCTTTGACTCCTTACTTGACGGGTGTGGCTGTGTCTGCCCGAAGGGTGGTTGGAACTTAAAGAGTTGGGATGAACTTCTGGAGAGTGACGACGAGGACTCTTCCTTGGGGGAGGGTACGATCCTAATCATCAAACCACAAATGGATAGTCAGCCAATTGAAATCAATCTTGCTACGAAGGCCAATGATGTGGAACAACTGAGGAGACTTCCGCCACCACCCACCTATCTAGAGTCTCCTCCTTTTATCATGTTGCCGCCAAGCCGCAGGGACGAGTCAAGGATCCTGGACCTTGACCGAGCGAAAATTCAAACAGGGTGGCATCAGAAGAGAGTCAAAAGGTCCAAACTTTACGATTCTCGGATCGGAAAGTCGCGGAAAAAGTAGGTGAGCGTCAAGCTACGGACGTTAAAGAAGTGCTTAAACGGGAGGCAACCCGTCATTCAGATAATTAAATTATTAAATATGCTTACTTGTTATTTACTTGCCGCATCAGTTGGGGGCAAGATTTTACTTGTTTTACTTTTTCTATTTCAAACAGATGGATGTTGCTTGGATGATCCCGCATGGAAACCGCCGCACATTACAGAATCTGGAAGAGCTCCCTTTGCACTCAGAGGAAGCAAGGAAGAAGTTTCTCACTTGGGGAAACACGAAGATGCTCCAGCCTCCCATGGTGCTAGACCCTGCCTACTTGGATGAACTAGGGCACTGGCAGGACATCGACGAGTTTCTGTACAACCCAAAGGGGAGGATCTTGTTGTTCCTACAAGCACCAGCAAGCCTGGAAGTCACCATCGAGTTTCTGTGCTCTCTCCGCTTCCTCAATGACAGAGAAGAAGTAAAGTCAACAGCTGAAGTCACCTCCACCACCAAGCTCACATTCACTCTGATGGGACGACTCCTGAGCCTTACTGTGGCAGACTTAGGGTGGCTGATTGGTCTTTACACGCTTGATGAAACGCGGAGCCTGGAATTTGCTAATCTGCCCGATCGGTTGGATCCAGAGTTCGATGTGAAGAAGTTCTAGCAAGCTCACGGGTATGGACGATATCACAGTGGAGCAAGCATAGCCAGGAATTGGGTGCGTCCGTCTTGGAGGATTTTACACCACGCATTGACTCACAGCTATTTCGGCCGTTCTCATGGCCCCGACGTGGTGTTCGATTCTGATATGCTATTTTTCTGGAGTCTGGAAGCACGCGTACCAGTCAATCTGGCGACTTTTGTGGCTCGATTCCTATTTGCCCAATCAACTTGCAACCACCAGTTTGTCTTGTGTGGACCAATGGTTACACTTCTGGCCCGGGGATTATGTATGACGGTCCCCAATGTTCTCCCAGAAGCCGCAAGCATGTTCCGACCATCGACAAGGTATTTGACCCAGATTGCTTATAATAAGGAGGACAAGGAGGCACGCCCCAGAAAGCAGCATACAATTCCCATGACCCTTCGCGAGCTTTCACAAGCTATGTTTGCATTCCAGGATTCCGTGGACTCTCGCCTAAGGAGCATGGAGACGCTCCTTCTCACACAGCAATGGCAGAAGAGGAAATACTTGAATACACTCGGGAGCAAGGAACAAAGAAGGCCGAGCATAAGGAAGGTCCTAAACAAGGTAAACGTCAGGGATAGTGAGATCCCTAATTTCTTAATACTGCATTCAGAACATCATTTTTGGATATTTATATGATCTTATCTTGGAATTTCACAACATGACTCTTAAAACCATTTTGAGAATATTTTATGCATAATTTCATATTTACATGTTATGGTTATCTATTATTTCAATCTTCATCATTGAATCTTTTAAGTATTGAGTTAACTTAGTAATTGCATGTGGACATTTCAACCATTAAATCTAATTCTAAATCACTTTTAACCACGAGGGCGTGGTTCCGTTTAAGTGTGAGGAGGTAAGAGTTCCTGGTTGAAATGATCTTTTTAGGAATTGTTTTGTCTATATATTTGTAGGAAAAGATTTTATAAAATAGTCATCAATTTTATTTGTTTGATTAATTAATCTTTAGTTATCACCCGTAAAAATTAGAAATTTTTAAATTTTTTGTCAAACTTCTATTTTTACTCTAACCTTTTTGGGAAAGTTTTCTAAAATGATTTGGGATAAATTCACAATTTATTAAGAGTTCTTTTTTTAGATCAATTAATTTTTAAGTGCTTTATTGAAAATCTTTTTGCTGATGCTCTTATGAGTATTAGTTGTTTCTCAAAGAGAGTTATTTTCAAAGTATAAAGGGGTGACGTTTCAAACTATACTTTGGTGAGACCGAGATTCTTGTTTTAGCCAAAAAGCAATTGGTTCTATGTCAATTGATGAGGCTTGGTGAGTATGCCAAAAAGCACGTGGTTCTATATTGCGTGATGAGGCCTTTTGAGTGTTAGAGTCAAAAAGCATGCGGTTCTATGTCGTGTGATGAGACTTTCCAGAGTGAATATCCAAAAAGCTCGTGGTTCTATGTCACGGGATGAGGTTATAAATTTTTCTCGTGTCAACATGACAAAGTTATGCCAAAGAAAATTAAACCCTTACACTTTGACAAATACTTTTGCAAGAACATGTTTTCCAATTTAGCCATTAAAAAATTATTTGATCTTTAAAGTACTCTTACAAATGTAGTTATCCCAAAGAAAGTTTGGAAAATTTTGGTTGTTTAGGTTGGTGTAAAAATATTGGTTTGACAAAATTCTTTTACATTTCTAACAATATGGGTGAGAATCTAAAAGTTCATTTATTCTTAACAAAAAGGTTGATGACTATCTTATTTCTTCTTTCCTTTATACTATGTAGCTTAAACCTTCCCTCTGCAATTATTAATTTGCCTTTATACTTATAATTATTCAATTTGTTGCTTGAGGGCAAGCAACGTTTAAGTGTGAGGAATTTGATAAGTCCGTTTCGTTCTTATCATTTACATCATATTCTAAACGTTATTGCACGTAAATAATATTTAATCATCTCATAAAATGTGATTTTAATGGATAAAACTCTCATTTTCATTCTAAGAGTCATAAAAAGGGATTCCACATGAAATCATCATAAATCATCCATTTTATGTTCAAATGCTTGAGAAAAAGGGAATAAATCATCAAAGGATCAAAATTCGGGCTTGAACGAGCTTCCGGGAGGTCAAAAACAATGTTCGGGGCCAAAACGGAGCAAAATTGGGCCAAAATCACAAACCAGTCGCGAAGCCCAACAAGAGAAGGGCTTAAGGCGTCCAACTTGGATGCTTGGCCAAGTTGGACGGTTGGGAGTTGGACGCTTTAGCTTAATTGCAGCCCAAGAATGACACGTGGCAAAATCTGGTTGGCCGAGACAGCTCAGGCGTCCAGATCTGGACGCTTGGACTTGGACGCTTTGACTTGGACACCTTGGATCCATTACTATAAATACAGCACGATTCTTCTCATTTTTATCATCCAACTTCATCCCAACTTCGGGATTTAATCTTCCAATCTCCATTATAGTTTGTAGTATAGTTGTAGTAGTTAGTTTTGAAGTATTTTCGGAGGTTTTGAGTCCAGATCTGTTCTGTTCCGCTCTTACGGAGGTTGTAAGTTTTCTTTATTTAATAAAATGCTATTTTAATTTATGTTTGCATAGTATGAGTTAGGGTCTGGATCTCTGGGTCCGGACTAGTTTGGTTGTTTATTTTTTTGAGGTTAAATTAATGTTGGAATGGTTAATCTATTGTTCTTGCCTTAACTGGTTAATTAATATCGAATGATTTAATTGGCCATTTATTGAGAAAATATTGTATGCCAAAAGGCTATGATATTCAAGTACAACAGATTAAGTACAAATCTAGAAATGGATGAGTAGTAATAGAAATATTATTATTCCAACTACTAATTTAATATGATAAAATAGATCCAAATGATGTCCAGACCCTAGGACCAGATCCACACTTATACTATGTAAACTTAATTTATTATTTTTACTCTGCTCCTTTTATAATCGTTCCGAGAAGATTTTCATAAACCAATCCTAATCTTCGCCTAATTAGAGTAATTAAACTAATTCCCTTTGTCGACTCCTTGAGAGATACGACACTCGGAGAGAAAACTAACCCTTTACTGGGAAGGTTTACTACCCGAAAAACTACAACTGTCAAGAGATTTCTACATCGTTGTTCTAGATGTTTCTAAAAATCCAACCTTGGCTCAACAGCAATGTCCACTTGCCAACATTGCTGTTGGAAGAGTTAAACCATGGTTTTTCAGCAGCCCATGCCAGACAGCGCTGTTGGTCACTCGAGCATTGCTGTTGGGCTGGTTTAGCTAGACTCATGATTGGTTTAGTCATGCTGTTAGCCGATGTAAAAAATCCAAGTTCTCTAAAATAAAAAACAAGTGTTGAAAATATTTCTTTAAAGCACTTTGCTAAGAAATCAAGTGAAACATCTTAAAAACCACGTCATTTAGATAAAAACTAAGACTAGCCAAGTTTACGCCGTTTCGCATGGTTTTTATAAATGACCAAAAACGAGAGGTGGTTTTTGAAGCGTTTTTTGGAGAACTATTTATATATGCCCAGAAGTAAAAACCAATCATAAAATTTTGAAAACCACTTGGTTGATTCGGACGCCAAAAACCAACGCCAATAATCGAATGCAGAATGCCGGTTTCTGAAAACTGAACGCTGGATGGCTTGGTTTTCGGTTTGGGCAAACACCAAGTGTTTTAGGCTTGTTTAAAACTTATGAAAAACATTTTGGAATATGCAAAAGAATATTTTAATGAAATGAGCCTAGAGAGCTAAGTTTAGAAGTTTGTACCGGTCTTGATCACATTAAGACCGACTCAATTTATTTCTAAGTCTTGGTTCTTGGTTCTTGGTTCTCAGTTAATCACACCATGTTCCTTCGCCTTTCATTTGCTCAGTTTAATCTTGTAACGCCCCACAAACCGGCCTAATATTTAGCCAATATTTTAAATAAATAAATACTATTTATTTATTGAGAATCATTATTTTAAATAATAATAAATATTGAGATTTTGATCTCATTAAATGGACTTCCAAAGGCAATGTATTTTAATAACGGAACTCTCAACATTAATTAATTAAATAAAATAATTAATGATTGGGATGGATCCAGAAATTTGAAAATAAAGTATTTAGAAAAATATTTTGAAGATATCATGAATTTAGTTTTGATTGGTTATTTGCAAAATCGCAATTGGTCTTCAATTGGGGCAGGTTCGGGGGAAAAACACGTACCGTTCAGGTCAGATTTTACACAACGGAATAAGATTTAGGAAAATAATTCCCCAATTAATCCCCTTCCACGCCACACACACATTCTTTCTCTTTAATGCCCCATCAGTTCTCATTTAATCCCCTTCAATATATACATGCCTCTTCTCTTCCAACCCTTCACTATTAGTAACCCCCCAACACCATTAACACACAACCATCCAACTCCCTCACTCTCCCTCTTCCTTACGGACGCCGGTCAGTGGAATCCCAGGAGACGATGGAGCTCCGGCGAAGAGAAAGAACGAGAAGGACGAGAAGAAGAAGGAGGTTCTGATTTCTGGAAGAAAAATCCCGTCAGTCCACTTTGGACTGAATTTCGACCATCATCAACTCAGTTTTTGGTCGTGGTTTCTTGACTAAAGTCGTAGCCTTACGAGTCGGTGAACCACAGCCGCAAACGGTTTGTCAATCGGACGAGTAACGAAGGTGATACAGCCGTTTTACCAAAACTGCTTCAGTAGCGATGGAAAGCACGAGGGTTGCAACTTCCGCCTTCATTCTCATTCCGTTTCATCCAATCTGCTATTCGTTGAATGCGTGCCGACTCTTCACAACCCCTATAACATATTTCCAATAAGTGTTGTACCCGAGACCCGGGGTCTTATCGAGTAGCTATTTTGTGGCGGATTTGCGGAAGGAAATGGATGATAGAACTGAAGGATGAAATATGGAGTGTGGGAAAGAGTTCTTTTTGGTGTTTTTAATGAGAGAAAAGAATAAGTTTAAGAAGAAGAAATGGTGAGGAATGAAATGGGCAGAAATAAAGTGAAGGGATAAACCAAGTTGGTGTTAAGAGATATGACACACTCTTATCTTAACTTGGGGCTTTTATCTTCTTTNTGTTGTACCCGAGACCCGGGGTCTTATCGAGTAGCTATTTTGTGGCGGATTTGCGGAAGGAAATGGATGATAGAACTGAAGGATGAAATATGGAGTGTGGGAAAGAGTTCTTTTTGGTGTTTTTAATGAGAGAAAAGAATAAGTTTAAGAAGAAGAAATGGTGAGGAATGAAATGGGCAGAAATAAAGTGAAGGGATAAACCAAGTTGGTGTTAAGAGATATGACACACTGTTATCTTAACTTGGGGCTTTTATCTTCTTTTACACATTAATAATCACTACTAATGTATAAAATTAGACTCCTAACACGCACTCAAAAGTAGCCAACTTTAGAGATATTTCATTAGGAAATTTGGTTAAAATAGCATCACACTATTTTAAAGAATTACTCAAAGAGTAAAACAAAGGCTTTTAATTCAATAATCTGGTTTCTTACAATGGCCTCATGGCTGAAGTATTTATACAACAATAAATAAGGAAAAAATACAATAAAGGAAACTTCCTACTTCTTTCCTAAAAATCAAAGATTAATGTCCTTCCATGTGAGCTGATTTTCCAAGATGCTTCTCCTGATTTTGGGCTGATCTTCCTTGGGTTTATTTAGGGAGAATTTCGTGCATATAAGGGAGAAAACAAAGGGGAATCAAGCTTTAGACTTTTGTGAATAAAATGCCAAAACAGCACTATTCATTCAATGACTTTGTTTCTGATTTTGTTCCTTTGTTTCAAAAGTGATTATGCTTTTTGATTTATGAAAGAAAAGGCTTTATTCTTTGTTGAAATTCAGGGAATAATTTCAGCCTTGTACCCAAGCTTAGGAAATGCAAACAGGTTTTGAACAACTTCGGGACTTCAAAGTTCAGAGATGTAATAATCGATTAGCATCTCTGGATAATCGATTCACAGGATTTGGTTTCAATCCGGAAATGTTCTGAGGGACTAGATAGTCGATTGATATTCAATGACAATCGATTATCAAGGACTTATTCGGAACTGGATATTTTCTGAGGATGATGATAATCGATTATCAAATTAATGAAAATCGATTATGAGAAGTTTTGTATTTTGGAGAAGAATCTGCAGACTTCAATAGTCGATTATCAATTAAGGATAATCGATTATTTAGGGGTTCAGAATCAGGATTAGAAGAAAAGAAGGGAAGGCATTATTTGGGTAAAAGGTTTTTGAAAAGACAAAAACAAGAAACAAAGGTTTTGGCTTTTATTTTCTTATCATCTTGATGGAAAAGACTTTATTTTGATAAAAGAAAAGGAATAAAACTTTTGGATATGTTGGGAGAGTTGGGGATTTTGGTGGAGCCATCCAGGGATACATCAATAAGAAACGGAATTCAAGAAGCTGTTTGGAAGTCGGAAGGTCAACGGAGGTATGTACACCCTAGATATAACGGAGGAATCTTTAATATATTTATATGCGAATACGTTTGTTGTTTATATGACTATTCGTATATAGATTCATATCATGTTATACTTTTGATCTATTAACGTTGCATAGAGAATAACGAGGATTACAGACTGTTATGAAATTGAATGATTATACAAGGCTAAACGGATGTTTGACTCAAATGTAACAATAAGGATTGTGAAATCAAAGTGTAAGAATGGTTAGATTATGAAGAATATGTCTAGGCTTGAGGAAATACCAATGAATATCGTAATAGCATCACTAGATACATATATGTGTATAAATTTGAAATGTGAATGAACAAGTTGGGAAACACCTAGACCACATTTAGGCGATTACATGAACACGTAAATCCATGCCCAAATATATGTGATGTACATGTATGAACAAATGTGTATTTGTTGTTTTATATGTTCCACTATTTGGTATAACCCTCGTTGAAACTGTATGATCGTGGTTTTCTCGTTATGAAGCTATATGATATAAAACTCATAGAAAAATAAATCATCTAGAATCCATTTGGAATATAGAGGAACTCAATATTTAGATATATTTGTAAATCTGACATGTTTGTTATAGTTTCCAAAAGGTTGAACGTAATTCGATAGACCAAAGTAGAACCCGAGTACTGTGGTAGTAGACGGTCAAGTTCTGATAATTAACTATCAGGTGCTGCTGAACTCTGATAGTCGATTATCACAGAGTGACAATCGATTATCAGAGGTTGCGGAACATTTGATAGTTGATTATCACGAAGTGATAATCGATTATCAGAGGCTGCAGAAGTTTGATAATTGATTATCAACAAGTGATAATCGATTATCAAGAGATGCTGAACTTTTAGAAAGATCTGAAATCAAAGTGCTTTCAAGGAAAGAATCAACAATTGAAATATGGATTAAAAACCGAGGCTTAGATTTCAATATATGTCTTTGGGACCATAAGTCAGGTCTCTCTGAACTTGGGTTTCTTGGACAAACCATCAAGACAATCAATTGTCATAAGGTGACAATCGACTATAACAGTCTGCAGAACTTTGGGAACAGAAGCTGCATAGCATGATAATCGATTATCAACAATGGATAATCGATTATCAGCCAGTTCTGAACCCAGGTGCATCATGTTGAACAAATCATTTCCATATGGAATCAAACTAATATGTATGCGTTGAACATAACTTTAATCTTCAAGCACTGCATTCATATCATCATGTATATCCTAGACGCATGTTTATGATCATTGCATACTTTGCATACCGCGACAAGAGGTCAGGCCTAGTGCGCCTCTTCCGCGGGCCCGTCTAGGAACCTGTGGGATCCAACGGGTTTTCATCTCGAGGGCTTGTACATGGTAGCTAGGCTTAGCTATCACCCACATTTCTAGTCTCCATCGGGATGACTAAGGCGTTCCTCGGCTCATCTACCGCGTGGGGATGATCACCGAAGGGCAGGGGTTCCTGCGTAGTCTAACTCATGCATCATGAATCATTTGGCATTGCATTGTTTGTACATAATTATGTAGATCTTAATTATCAAATTGTATGTGGTATTGCAAAAACGTACTGCACTTCATATCCAACATCGTGGATGACAAGGCCAAGGTATTTATATTTGGATAATATTCCAAAATGAATCTACATGATATGTATATGTGTTCTTGTATCCTGTGCTATCTACTATGCAAGCATGTAAATTACATGGACAATGTGATGCATGGTATTTAAGTATAAATATGTTATCGATCTCCCGCGTTATCGTACCACTCAGCTTTATGCTGAGCGTGTAGTCTTTTTGTCTACACGTAGGTTGAAGCACAAACTATGTGAACCACCCGGAGGACAAAGAGACGATAGGATGGCAGGTTGACATGCATGATTTTCAC